CTTGCGACATGGTCACATTACCTAATTCTCGCTTCCAAGAGTGAAGACTATGCCCACAAACCAACATAGGTCCTTTCAACATATTTTGTCTTCACTCACATGCATCCAACGAGACCACTCAACATAGAAATTTCTCAATGTGGGTTCGGTTTCATTCAAATGTGGGTTCGGTATGTACCCTTCTTTACTCGGTGTCACAGTCTAAATTCAAAAAGTTTGGTTCTCGCGTTATTTAAAAAATTTAGAACTTTAGCTTTTAAAACAACTATTATACTTTATTTAATACTATTTTCAAACGGTCAAATTGATATTATTATAAAACTATAGTGTTATATAAAATAAACCAAATTATTATATACTTTTGACTTATTTTCCTACAAACTTTGTTAAAAGTGAACAGGTCATCAATAAACAAAAATGGAAAGGATCAGTCCAATATTTTATTTTTTAAATAATAATAATAAAATAAATAAAATTTGATGGGGGATTATCTCAATGATGAGCAACAATATCCACACACATATTGTTTCAAACGTCAAATATCAAAATTTTATAAATTATAAGTTAATTATAAATTAGTTGTTAAAAGTGTTCATATGACTCGATAATCTGACCAATTCAGACTACTCAATCCAAACTTATGTTGATTTTTTCGATTTAAATTGGGTTGAATTGTTGGAAAATCGAAAATTTGGTTTAATTCTTCGATTGACGTATTTTCATCGGGTCAACCCGACTAACCTTACCATACTGATATTAGTGATGCATGGTAACCTTAACTGAACTGATGTTAGTGATCGATTGTGACTTGTAATGATTAGAATTTTTAAATAATTAAAAAAAAAAAAAACTCAACCAAAAAGTTTATAAATTAATTATTTTATTAATGCTTTTTAATTTAATTTCAGTCTTTGTAAATTTAACTAATTTTATTCTAAATTCGTCAAAAAGTTTATATTTAGCCCTCAAGTTAAATAAAAATGTTTTTTTAATGTTATATTTTTTTATTTTTCAACATGTATACCGTGACTGAGAATATATTTATTTTTATATTAGATGAGTTGAAAGGAATATTAGATGAATATATACTAAAATAAGAAAAAAAAATGTTAATTATAATTTTTAAATTTTTTTAAAAGATAAAAATACTTTTAAAAATATTTAGAAAATAAAAAAAAAAATTTGAATTTTTTTTTTTTTATAAATGATAAAAAAACACTACCTTTAAATCAATATGTCTAAATATTATTACATAAGTTATATGAATAATTTTTTTAAATTAATTTAATTTTGGAAAAAAAATAAAAGTGCAATAAATTAAAATTAGATTTATACTCTTACCTGGAAAAGCTAAAGGTCCCAAACGGTAGTTTTACACGTCAGCCATGGATTGGGGGACACGTATTCATGGTGTTCTCAGAATCCGAAACCTAGAATTCCAAGTCAGACATGGCTGCGCACGTGGCTTAATTCTTTATTATTTTTTTCTATTTTCTTTAGTTAAAAAAAATGTTCGAGTTTATCAGCTATTCCAATATTTTACGCATTAATTAATTAATTAATTAAGCTAAGAAAATTATCATTATTTATCAATTTAAGTTATCCTAAATAATATTAAAATTTATGATGTACCGGTTAATAATGCATGTCTGCTGAACTAAAGAACTAAATTAATGATTAATTTTAATTAAATTAATTTAAGAAATTATTATTTATTTTATATTAACTATATATATATTAGGGGTGATTTAAGGACATGTGGAAAGAAGCTTCTATTGGGTTTCTGTGTGTTTCATTTTCATTGGGAATTTTCCCTTTTCTCATTTTTCCCCCAAATTTTCCAACCCTAACATTTTCCCGGAAACCGCCTTTGTTTGTTTCCCGAGAAAATTTCTCCTCGCCTCCGTACTTCTTATATAAATCACCGCCTCACACTTCCATCCTTCAACTCTAAAATCATTCACAAAACTCGGAATCTGATGGATCTTACCGCCAAGCAGCAGTCGAAGCGCCGATCTAGGAAATCGGCAGCCGCCGATTTCAAAGTCGTGTACATTTCGAATCCGATGAAGGTGAAAACCAGCGCCTCCAGGTTCCGATCTCTCGTCCAGAAACTCACTGGCTTGGATTCCGACGCCGAGAGGTTCATGGAGTTGATTGCCGCCGCTGCCTCCAGTGATCGGAATAATCTTCAATCGTCGACATCGGCGTCGGCGTTCCTTGATTATCAACTCCTCGGCGATGACGATTTAACCGATTGTGATCATCGGCTTGTGGCGGGAAAGATCGAAACGGCGGCGTATCAGTCGTCGGTGGCTCCGCCGGAGGATTTGGTTATGCAGAACTTTGATGCGAGTTTTGCGGAAATGTTCCAAAGCTTCTTGCATGAATCTTCTTCAACGCAAACTGAGATGCCAGGTTTCAGTGCTCTACTGTAAATTCGATATTACGTTATACTTTTAAAATGTGACGTGGATTTTTCTTGTCACATTTCTTTTGTGATCATAATATTATTTTTAATCTAATATAGTGAATTTTGAGTAATTTATACGGAGTTTATTCGGGGTTGAAATAACCATTCGGTGGTCGAGATCGAACTAGTGGTGTTCGAATGATTTAGTGATCGAAAGAACTCATCAATTCAACTGAATCTCCAGTTAAGGTTGAATTGAGTTCATGTAATTGTTTAAGTTCACCGCTAGCAGATATTGTTCGTTTTAGCCTGTTACATATCCTCGTCGTCCTCATAGTTGGAGAGGTTTCTACACTCTTATAATGAATGTTTGGTTTCCCTCTTCAACCCATGTGAGACCTCACAACCCACCCATTGGGGTCCAACCTCCGATGTTGGACTCTGATACCATTTGTAACTGCCCCAAGTCTACTACTCTTAGAAATTGTCCGTTTTGGCCTGTTACATATCATCATCCTCATGGTTTTAAGAAGTGTTTGTTACAGAGAAGTTTCCACACCCTTACAAGGAATGTTTCGTTCCCCTCTCCCATTGATTGGAATCTCACCGTTCAAATATATAAAAACTTTAAAAAAAAAAATCTTATCGTAGATAATATGAACGAAAATAGTCTATCCACATTTTCGTGGATTATCTCCAAACTTTTTAAGATTACTCTTAAAAGTTCTGGAGTATTTTTGAAACGTGTAATTATATATTTTGTATTATTATATTCACAAGGTCGTTATTGTTGTGGGTCATGTGTGTATGTGTATGGAAGCATTTATATCTTATCTTTTAAGTAAATGTCAAACTCATCTTAAATATATTGACAAACTAATATAAGTTTAATATTTCCATAAATCTATAATTAAAATTAAATCACAAAATAATTTTAATTTCTGACCATCAAAGAATAAATAAAACCCGTTTTTTTTTAACGTTCATAAGGTATAAATAAAATGTGTTAATTTATATCTAATTACGTATAAATAACACATATTTGTAACAAAAAAAAAAAAATCTTTATAAAATATCTTATTCTAACCTAAATATCTTTAAAGTTCTTAACCGACTCATTTGAACCAAGAAATGAAAATCATTCGATCCATAAACTTTCTCGTATAAGTTATATAATAGGCAAATTTAAATGTTCGGAGATTTATTCGATATTTTTATTAATTTTAAGGGCATATTAGATTTGAAAGTTTAAGAACATGTTGTATATATATTTTTTGAAACTTTAAATTTTTAATAAATATATAAAAAAAAAAAATCAAATGACTAAATTTGGGACGAAGAGTATAAGAGTGAGTAAACCTCTCATTAACCAATCCATTTTAAAACTGTGAGGTTGATAAACATATGTAATGGGCTAAAACTGACAATATTTACTAGCATTAGGCTGGATGTGAGATCCCACATTGGTCGGAGAGGGGGTGTGGAAAGCTCTCCTTAACAGACGTATTTTAAATCGGTGAGGTTGACGGAATTATGTAGGGGCTAAAGCGGACAAGCTTGGGTGTGAAATCTGACATCGGTTGGAGAAGGAAACAAAGCATTCCTTAGCATTCTTTATATAAGGGTGTGGAGACATTTCCACAACAGACACGTTATAAAGCTGTGAGGTTGATAACCATATGTAATGGGCAACACGGACAATATTTACTGGCAGTAGACTTGAGACGTTACTAGTGGTATTAGAGCTAGACATGAGGCGGTGTGCCTACGAAGACGCTAAGCTCCAATAAGGGTGGATTGTGAGATCCCACATCAATTGGAGAAGGGAATGAAACTCCTCGAACGTGTTTTAAAACTATAAGACTAACAATTATACTTAATGGGCTAAAAAGCAATAATAACAATCTTCTCGATCCCGAAAAGTTCAAAAGTTCACCATAAATGATGGGAGAATTCTGATGGGTGCATTTGAATGCGAGCATATGACACTATTTGTGACATCCTAGTATAGGAGAGATACATGAAGGAATCGAAACCACATCCGAATGAGACAAATCCTAAGGATAGGATAGCTAAGAAATTTTTTAAAAAATTACGTTACTACCTATATTAGAAAGGTGCAGCTTCTTTTTCGGTGGCTCAATCGTATTTTCACTCTTAAGTGATGACAAAGTGAGCTGAAATGATTCGTATTTTCACTCTTAAGTAGTGAGGAGTGAATAATGTGACCATATCGTAGAAGATGCAAAGGAATGTCAGAGTCATTGGAGTATATAATATTTAATTACTTAATTACTGATGATATTTTAAATAAATAATTGAAATTATTTTTCTAAAAGAATAATAGAGAGAGAACTGATATGATCTAATTGAGCTTTTTATGTGAACCAACTAATACAGACAAAATAGTTATTGGGCCTAACTTTAGGGCCTGAAGTATTAATCTGCAGATTGAGATCCATAACTGTATTGGGCCTGGGCCCAAACGTGAAGAAGCCCACTATCCACGTATGAGGTACTCTAGGGTTTTTTACCGCTCTTCTCTCTCTCTATATATATTCAGCTTCCGGATATTTTGGAGGAAAAAGAAAGCGGCCGAGCAACACAGCTGGGAGCTGAATCCACAGTGACGGACATCGCTACTTCCTTTTTTCTCTTGTTGCTGCCGCCTCTCGCCGGCAAGTCAACCCCATCTTCTGCCGTGGCCTTTTATCCATCTGTTGCTCATTCTTAAGGTCTGTCCGGATCATATGTTTTTTCTTTTGTTTATTCGTTTTGGTTTCGTTAGTTGAATCAACTTCAAAATTGGGAAAATTTGGAATTAGGTGAGATTTAATTTGAAATCCTTCCGAATTCGAGGAAAAGAAATAGAAGGTTTGTGTTATGTTCTGTTCAGATTTGGTTGAATCTTCTCGGATAGGAATTTTGTTCGTTTACATCGCTATTGACTGATTGTACTGATAAGAATAGATCTTGATCTGGGTGTCAATTCAAAGTTAGCAACGAGTAAAATCATGGTAGGAGTTGTTGTTCATGTTGTGTTTCGGACTAGGGGAGTTATTAGACAGATGAGGGTTTTATCCTGAAGCACTAGGATCGTTTGGAACGAAGATTTTGTTACCGTTCAAGCCAACCGCTACCGAATATTGTTATATTTGGGCTTTCCCTTATAGGTTTACACACCCTTATAAAGATGTTTCGTTCCCCTCTCCAACTGATACAGGATCTCATAATCTACCCCTTCGGGCCCAGTGTTCTTGCTAATACTTGTTCTCCTCTCCAATTGATGTGGGACCTTCCAATTCACCCCCTTTGAGGGCCCAACGTCCTTGCTGTAACACTGCCTGGTGTCCATCCTCTTTGGGGCTCAGCCTCCTTGCTGGCACATCGTCCGGTGTTTGGCTTTGATACCATTTGTAACAACCCAAGCCTACAACTAGCTGATATTGTCCTCTTTGAACTTTCCCTGATGGGCTTCCTCTCAAGGTTTTAAAACGCGTCTGCTAGGGAGAGGTTTTCACACCCTTAAGAATGCTTCATTCTCCTCTCCATCCGGTGTGGGAGCTCACAGATTTTTTTCCTTTTATTGAAAGGAATCATTTAGTATTCGTTTGAATGTTAGGAGAAGCTAACCGTTAATTTGAATGCATTATTTATCAATCTTGTTTCTTTTCCAGATGGAGAGTGGGAAATATAAGGATGATGGAGATGATAAGGCGAAAGACAGAAAATCCAATATTTGCCACGAATGTGGCGCTGCTTTCAAAAAGCCTGCTTACTTGAAGCAACATATGCAAAGCCATTCGCTCGAGGTATCTTGAGATGTTCAATATCAATTTCGTATGCTTAAATCAAGTGCCTGTGTTTGGTATTTTATTTTAGCCATCCTAATTACATGTTCTTCGCCCAGTTTTCATTTATTATGAATTATTCACAGGTTCTTACTGAATTCCTACCTGTCATTTCATTATCTTTTCTCTTGCATTGAAGAACATTGGTTTTGCAGGAAAATCCTTAAATATATTAACATAATATGAACGATTCTGGATACCTCAGCGTGAAGCATTGGATCCCACATTAAGAACTCCAAAATGTATGAGGCTGCCTTTTCCTAGCTTGATTGGATCAGTATCAGGTTGGGAGACCTCCTGAGAAGCTCCATCAAGGGGCCTCACTCACGCTACTATAGTTCGAGGTTTGAAGTCGAGTAATTCAGAATGTTGGGAAGTTACATTTTAGTTACTTAACGTAAAGTTGACCAATTTTATTGTATTATTTTAATGCAGAGGCCGTATATTTGTACCGTAGATGGTTGTGAAGCGAGTTATAGAAGAAAGGATCATTTAACTCGACACCTTCTCCAGCATCAAGGAATGATATTCAAGTGTCCTATCGAAAATTGTAGTCGTGAATTTGCATATCTATCCTGTCTGAATCGACACTTGAAAGTTTTCCATGAAGGTTCTACTCCTGAAGTTGAAGGTCAGAAGCGTTTTGTTTGCTCGGAAGATGGATGTGGAAAGGAGTTCAGATATGCTTCTCAACTGCAAAAGCATGAAGATTCCCACGGTTGATCCCAATCCTTTCTATTAGAACTAAATTTTTACTGTTTGACTTGACGTATCATGTATTAATTTTGAAATTTACTGTACCGTAGCTAAGCTAGACTCGGTAGAGGCATGCTGTTCTGAACTGGGTTGCATGAAAACATTTACGAACAAGCAATGCCTCAAGGCTCATGTGCAGTCCTGCCACCAATACATTGAATGTGAGATTTGTGGTGAAAAGAAATTGAGAAAGAACATCAAGCAACATCTCCGACAAAAGCATGAAAGTGACGGTCTGCAAACGACAATTCGATGCACGCACGAGGGCTGCAGTAATGTCTTTTCAACAGTAAGTAGCTCAAACTCTGCAAACATCTCCGAGCTTTGTTCTTCTTTAGACTGGAACGATCTTTGATATGCTCCCTCGTTATTAATCTCCTAGAGTTCGAATCTCCGACAACACGTAAAGGTCGTGCATCTGGGACAAAAACCTTTTGCTTGTTGTTTCCCTGGTTGTGGCATGAGATTTGGGTACAAGCATGTTAGAGACAATCACGAGAAAAGTGGCCAGCATGTCTACACCGATGTAAGTTAGCATTAGCCATTGTTGTGTATTCGTATACTTTTGACCTTTAGATAGATGATTAACGGAGTGTTTTGCTCTGGAATCAGGGGGATTTTGAAGTAGCTGACGAGCGATTCCGCTCGAAGCCAAGGGGTGGGAGAAAAAGGGTTTGTCCAACTGTTGAAATGCTTATACGGAAGAGGGTTACCCCCCCAACTGAGCTGAATTTCATGATGGATGAGGACTGTTAGTATGTCCCTACCAGACAGAAGCCAAGCCAACCCAGCCAGACCTCTTGTTGATACTAATCCTACGCACATTAGAAGTATTTTGATAGCTTATGAATGATAGAATCATCTGTAAGCAATGTAATGTATACTGTACTTGCCCAGAATTAGAACACTCATAGTATGTATTTTTGTGTTCTTTGTATGATAATCAGGTCTTTTACCTATTATTACACAGTTCATCAAAGCTTATTGATGTGAGATTTTACAATCCACCCCTTTTTGGGATTAGCGTAGTAGTTGGCCACTCGTTCCTTTCTTCTATCGATGTGGGATTAGGATCTTTTAATTCATCTCTCTTTGAAGCCTAGTGTCTTTAATTGGCATACTATCTCGTGTCTACTCCTCTTCAAGGCTTGGCCTCTGTTTGACACATTGTCGGGACTTTTTTTCAATGTTTTTTAAAATGTTTACTAAGGAGATTTTCACTCTCTTTTAAAGTGTTTCGTTTTTCTCTTCAATCAATGTAGGATCTTACACATATCATATTATTAAACTGGTATCTCACTGACAATCATAATCAACAGAAACATGAAGTATATGCATCACAAAATTCATTTGAAAATCATAACATGATTAATAACACGTAGATAGAGTTACAAACTACGTGTTATTCATGCCTCAAACAATTTCATACAATCTGGTTCCTCGTTGACATTCATGATTCACATTCTGTTTACAGTTTCAGACTCACTTGATGCTTCTAAGCTCATCTTAGCCCGTCGTTCTTAGGTTCAGCTTAACCGAAAAAATTGTACTTAAAGTTTATTCATAGAACACATAACAAAATACAATATAAAAATTTTGATTTAAATCAATTTGGATCTTATGAAATGAATGGGTTAAAGGTTAAAGGTTAAGGTTAAAGTCAAACATGAAATTTTCTAAAGTAAAAAATGAATGTAAAAAATTGACAACTATTACCCTTTCTAAAGCAAACATCAAATTTTTATTTTCACATTGAAATGACGTTAAATAATTTTCTCGTGTTATATTTAAGAGTGTATACAAGTTCGGTGAGGTTGAACTGGAAATTTTTTGGACCAACTTGAAATATTGGGTTGGGTTGGTGACTCGAGCAACCTGAAAACTGGTTGTTATTATTTTTAATTATTTAAAAAAATCTTACTTATCCGTATACATGTTACATTAATAACTAAAATCTTATAAAGCATAAATATCAAACATTTACAAGTCACAACGTATCATTAACATCGGTTAGTTAAATACTCTTAATCTTTTTAAAAGTAGGGTTTAGGGTTGGCCTGTGAACTCTATTTCGGGTTGGTTTGGTTGATACAACCAGATGTCAACGTGCAAACTAAACCAAACTTTCAATTTAAAAAAAAAAATAACACAACTCGACCATTGTAGTGTGGGTTTGTAGTCCGAGCTAGTCGGGTCAAATGAATGAACAACCTAGTTATATTTAAGATGAGAAATCTTCCATTATGACTTCTAGCTCGAGCCTCTAACCACTAATCAAATATTCTTAGAGAAAAATTCTCATTTACGAGGGAAGAAAGCCAATGAAAAACATAAAACAAATGCAAGAACGAACCTTTCGAAGCCTTCAACGTTTTAACTTACTTATTTTAGAATCGACATATAGAATAGGTTTACGATTTTAGAGCTCTAAAAAATAGAAGACACTAATTCATCTTCTTTACTTATTTCTTGATATGAAAAGATTATAGAAAACGTGAACTCTAGAAGTATCCTTATTGAAAACATTTCTTTGACGTAATGAAATTGACATTAAAATCTGATTTTTTTTTGAAGTATTTAAATCTAAAAAAAATAGAAAGTTATATTTTTTTTAAAACTCTTTCTCATACATCAATATGAAGAGAACTACTTCGAACACGACATGGGTGTCGGAAAAATTTCTCGAGTTCTCATCTTCATTTTTTGTTCTTTTTTTCAAAAAAAAAAAAAAACAAGAATCTTTATTATTCATATGAGAAGGGACAACCTTAAAACCTAACATTGCTTTATTTTTTTTTTCTTTTCATTTATTCGGGTTTTTTCGGTTTCATCAATTTTATAATAGAAGTAAAATGGAGGTATGAATAACAGTATAGTTCATCGTTACCTTCTAGACTCTCGTAATTTTCTCGATGTCGGGTTTATTTTTAGATTACAAAAATGATTTTTATTCCATTTAATTCATATATTTTAAAATTTGTAAAAATTTAGTCCTTTTTGGGCAAAATATACTACTAAATTTAAATAAAATGTGTTAAAAAAAAATAAAATTACAACCAATAAATTATTACCGACTAAAATTTAAATACTAAATTATTATTTTCTTTAAAATCAATATTATTAGAGGAGAGGGTGAGGAGCGCGTGAGATTCACGTGAATTGTTAGAGAGTCAAATTGAACGAAATGGCAGCCATGTGGAGTGGAAATTTACCCACTTGTTTATTCTCTATCTTCTCTGCAACTCTCTTGAGTGGCGAGTGTACACCACGCGCCGCCACTAATTAAAATAAATAAATAAATAAAAAACAAAAACAAAAAACTTGTGCACTGAATTGAGACGATTTGTCGTTTCCAATAAATTCCCCAAAATCACATTCTCCTTCCTTTACACATTTTTCACTATTACGACAATTCGTTTCCACCAACCAACCCTAAATTTTATCTTTTTATTTTATTTTATTTTATTTTATATTTTATAAAATATTACATCATCATCGACACGAGTCAATATTCGACAAGGCTTCGAATCACGTGACGATAATATTTTTATAATTTAAAACTATATTTTAAATTAATTTGAATAATTATTAACAATAAATAAATCTTTAATTTAGTACGTAAATGAGATTATTAGAATTATTCATTTAATTTTATTAATTTTAAGATGATATTATATTATAAGCTTTGGTCTTATTTTATGTGTAATTTAATTATATTAAATACATAATGTTTGGATAAGGAGATTATAGATATAATATTCATTTAATTTTTAAAAAATGATTAATTACATTTTTTTAAAGAAGTTATGAAAATATAATAATTGATTAAGGTTGCTTTATTAAAGTCAATATTGATGTTGGTCATGACCTCTAATCTTATGATTATTACAAAAATACCATACTGTAATTTTTTAATTTATTTAACTTTATTCTATATACATTTTCCTACACTAAATTATTTTTAACATGTGTTAAATAATTTAATCCATTTTTGCAACAAAGGGCATAATCTAGATGCTTTGGTAAAAAAATGTGACGGCCTAAGTCCACCGCTAGTAGATATTGTCTGTTTCGGTTCGTTACGTATCGCCACCAGTCTCACAGTTTCCACACTTTTGTAAGAAATGTTTCGTTCGCTTCTCCAACCGATGTAGGATCTCACAAAGAAGGTCTTTGGTCGTCTTCTTTAGCTCGACTCAATTTCAATTAGTCTAGTTAGCTCGTTTTGACCGTTTCTGGAGTAATTAAGGTAAGAAAATGTTAGTATACCTACTACTTTAGACAATCCATGAATAGGATTTAAGCTCGATTTTCTGAATGAATCGAATATCTCAAGGACGATCAACTAAGGTGAGTTTAAGAGAACCAAAGTAAGCCGTAAACAGTAAGTGAACTTACTATTTAAGCTAGGTTGGATGAAATTGTTTAATGCATGAACAACACGTACCATATGACCCTATTTACGTGTTATTACCATGAATATGTATGCATGTCTCATAAAAGAGTGTATCGTTTCATTGAACCATGATTTTTAATGTGGGACCGCACGTATATTGTATGTTATATGATCATGAATTATTTCTCCAGCATGTTATATACGGACACATTCGTGCTTTTTTCTTTTCCGTTGGTGAACTGCTTCAGAGTTGAGGGGGTATGTCAACAAACCCATGTATATGTGCATGGATTATGTGCAACCGTGCTTAGAAAAGTACTAAACACTAAACATTCGTATATCTACCTTCTTTGGGGAACAGTCAGCGTCCTTATTGGCACATCGCCTCGTATCTACTCTCTTTGGGGAACAACCAGCGTCCTTATTGGCACACCATCTCGTGTCTACCCTCTTCGGGGAACAACCTCCTCATTGGCTCTGATATCATTTGTAACTCCCCAAGTCCACCATTAGCATAAAAAAAAAAAAAAATAAATAAATTTAGTTGAGATCGATCGAATTCTCTAGTCTTACCAACACGGCTATAGTTATTAGTAAATTTAGTTTTAATCATTTAAAAAATAAAATAATTATATTTTTTAAAAAAGAAAATATATCAATTAATTAAATTGATTGACTTTCATTGGAACTTGAATGAACATGCCTTATATTCAATTCATTGTCTTTAATTGAAATTTGAATCTACACATATATTGTTCTATGAATGTGTAAAGTTCAAATTATTATAACACAATTTATTTAATTTAATATTAAAATATTTAAAATTTGGTACGACCCGCCTTTCTTAGTCAATAGCTCACTATTAAACGACGAGGAACAAAGTCTAATTTAATTCATGAGAAAATATTTTAAATAAATATATACTTAAAAGTACGAAATAAACGTGTAAAGTCGGGCCTTAATTCAGACGTAAAGATTTCTATTGTCTTGGTCTAGACAATTATATAAAGAACTTCACGGGACTAGTTCGGTTCACACTCGAGAGTGAATAGTAAGCTCTTGCTTTTTTTAATCTTAAATTAGTTGGGTCGAGATTTGATTAGAAACGCTAAGGGTATAATTGTAAATCTACACCATTATTCTCATTCTAAAAAAATCAATTAATTTAAATGTTGAATTTTAAGTTAGTTTGAGTTATCTCTTAGCTACACGTTCGGTCTATCTAATTTATTCTCAAAAGAAAAAGATAATATAAATTAATACATTAATTATACGTCACATATTTCTATTTATATCATATTATAAAATAATTCTCGAGCAACACTACTAATTTAAAATTTAAAATTTTAATATTTTAAAAACCCCAATTAAAATTTATAATCTGACAAATTAATTTAATAATCATATAATTATAAAAAATATATTTCTCTCACATGAAAATCAATTTAGATAACTTAAATATATTTGGAATCAAATCTTTCAAAAAAAGATAAAAAATATATATAATGGAATATTACGTTTTTGTTTGAAAATATAAATATTATTTTTTAAAAAAACAAGAGAAGATTTTGTTAATTATTATTATAATGTTTGAGATTCAATTCAACTAATTATTTAATTAATTAAGGGTCTTTTTTAGACATCCGCATCCTAAACGATGTCGTTTTCTTCAATGAATTTAATTATTTAATCATTTTGTTCCCGATTCAAAGAACCGAACCGCTGAAAAGCGAAAAGCTTTAATGTTTTATTTTAAAAAATAATAATAATATTTTTCGTTTTGGTAAGGTGTCAATTAATTAATTAATTAATTAATTAATTTGTGTTCTTGAAACCGAAACGTAATCTGATGAATATATCGGGATCTGTCCGTTTGATTCGGTCCGATTCGGTTCTTCACCCGACACACTCTCTTCCAACCAGATTCCCAATATATATATATATATATATGTATGTATATATTCACATGTAATGTAATAAGTTATTACATATGATAAGACATTAGATTATAAAGAATTTCAACTTAGTATTAATGTTTTTATCTTTACAAAAATGTTACGTGTTCGGTTATTTGGAGGTTGGTTCATACGAAATTTGGATGGCTTGCCTAGTCAGAGTGTCGAGGTGAAGCAATGTCTTGATTGCTATGCGTTAACTTAGGGCAAAAGTGATCCATCGTGTCTGTGAGATTCTACATCGGTTAAAGAGGGAACGAAGTATTCTTATAAAAGTGTAGAAACCTTTCCCTAGTAGACGCGTTACTGCTAGCGGTGGACTTTTGCTGTTTTAGTGATATCAGAGTCAGGCATCAAGTGGTGTGTCATGAGAATGTTGGCCTCCAAGTTGGTGGATTGTGAGATTCGACATCAGTTGGAGAGGGGAATGAGGTAAGCCTTATAAGGGTGTAGAAACCTCTCGATACGTAACGGGTCAAAGCATACAATATCTAGTAGCGGTGGACTTGAGTTGTTATAATAGTGATGTCAGAGTCAGACAATGAGCGGTGTGTTAGTGAGGACGCTGGTTTTCACTGATATAATTTCGATACCATCCTAGCTTGGATACTAACTCTTCTTTTGCCATTATAGCCGGTCAAGATAGGAAGATTAGCTAGGAAAACTCCGAATAAATTTACAAAAAAAAAATAAATAAATAATAATAATTTTTTTCATTAATAAAAAAAAAAAAAAGTAAAAAATCGGTGGGTCCCACGAGGTAGAAATTCAAACGGCGGTGATGATTTTCTCGTGGAGTCCATAGATACTTCCACGCGCTAACCCCCAGAACGTCCCCACACCTATATAAACCCCCCTCCCCCTTAATTCCCTCTCAAAAAATCGCCGCCGCCGCACAAATTCAAAATCAAAATCGCCGCCGTCGTCTTTTCCGGATTCATTTCACACGCATTGCTGTCGGTAAGGGACATGATCAAATCGCCGATCGTACGACGATTACTATGGTACGTTGTTTCAATTTAGTGTCCGTTCTCGTCCTCGCCGCCGTTGCGGTTTCCATGGTCGTTCTGCCGTTGGTTCTCCCGCCACTACCTCCGCCCCCGATTGCGCTTCTCTTCTTTCCGGTTGGAATCATGGCGGCTCTGCTACTCCTCGCCTTTTCTCCCTCCGATATCGGCGTCGGAAACATTGTCGTTTGAAGGAAATGGCGGATCATTGTACCTTCCGGCGACGGCATTTTTTTTTTGTTTATTAAGATAAATTATGAGAGATTTTAGAGATTTTTAATATAGATTCGATGTAGAAAATGAAGGAGGTTAGAAATGTTGTGAAAATGAAAGTGAATTTCTTTATTATATAATTTGTTCCATTTTCGATTTTTTTCCAAAAAATTTATGTTCATTTTAGCTAGTATCGAGCAAAGATTTCTCGTCGAAAACTCGATTTCATTCTCGACTTTTGCAGAATTTTGTATTCATTTTGGCAGGAATTAGACAAAAATTCTATGTCGGGCACGATTATTTAAAATTATTTCTAATGAATAAATTTCCTTCTACAAAATTATTCAATTATATTAAAGAACTAATATAATTTTTTTTTAGCTAATGAGATTTTTTTTTTTTTTTAATTTTTCATTTAAACAGATATTTCTAACTTAAAATAATAATTTAATTTTTAAAAGATTTATATAATTTTGAATTTTTTTAAAAATATAAATAAAAGGATAAAAGATAAAATTATATCCTTTACGTTTAAATTTTAAAAATAAAATACCTCCTTACCCATATGGAGTTTAAACAACTTTTAAAGGAGATGCGCGTGCATGACACGCGCCGAGGAACGTGCGTGGTAAAAGCAAGATGGTGGAAAAAGAAAAGAGGTTTAAACGGGTATCTTGATGGGCAGAATTTTGTTGACCGTGGGCCTGTCGGTTGGTTGGGCCTTCACTGTTTAAATTAGCATTTGTTCTTTTACATAAATACCCTTAGTCCCTGTGAAAACTTCATAAATAGTCTTTTATGTAGGGACTAGTTATCAAAATTTTAGAAAACCCTAAAAATTAATTTTAATATTTATTTATTTTATTCTCTATAATATATTTTTTTAAAACATTATAATATAATTTAATAAGCAATTAAAGAAAAATTAAATTTGGATAACTTTATTATTTCTTAAAACATATCACATGAAACCCTTTGGAAGTGACATGATATTATTTTTTTATCCACTTTATTTTATTTTATTGAATTTAATAATTGATATTAATGATTGAATTCCCATGGAATAAAATTATAATTCTAAGCAATAAAAAATTTGGCCCATGTGATGTAAAGAAAATTATTTTTATTTTATTTTATTTTATTTTATATGCTCTTTATATTTTTATAAGTAATAATTTTATTCTAAAATTTTAAATTTTTATTTCACTTTGATATTAAAATCGGGCAATTATTTTGTTGGGAATTAAATTAATAAGATAAAACATTTTTAAATACTAAAAAAAATAAACTAATTAAAGTTTGTAAAAAGTTGGCTTTTTATTTTCTATTTATAAGATTTCCTAATATTGAATAACATTAACATCAAAACTTTAAATTTATTTTTATTTATTTATTTTTTTTCCACGTGGAGGATCTCCATATCTCATTATTCATTTGGCAAACCTAAGCCAATTCTTTATGGGCCAAGGCCCAAGGCCCATGGCCCACTTACTCCTTGGGAGGGCTAATTAAGTTTTTACCTTGGTGATTTTAAAGGTTAATTAGTTTTAGGGTTAAAAAGAAAGAGGGTAATTTTGAAAATTTTTGCATGGAGGGAGTGATTTCATATTGAAATTAAATAATGTCGTTTGTGTCATTCATCTCGATAAAAATCGAACCCACCCTAAAGAGTAAGGCCCTCACCCCTCGTTCTTTAGCTTCTGTTTAATCTCGTCTCAAACATCGTTTTCCCTTACGATGCTGTCATTCATGCATCGACCCCCTTTTCCACGCTATCGCTCATGGCTTCTTGCCCTCTTTCATGTCGTTTACTGCCTCCCGTTCTCCCCTTTCTTGTTCTCCATTTGAAGCCATTGCCTTGCTCTCCCCTCTCGGTTTGAAGTTGTCATGGCTCTCTGTCCTTTTTGAACTACAAATAGAGTCCTCTTAAGACTCAAAATTCGAAATATAATAAAAATTGGCAAAAATAGAACGAACAATCGATTGGTTAACTACACACCTAAAATGTAACTTGTATGAAAATGAAGAGTATTTGATGTTTATAATAATAGTTGTGACTTGTGAATGTTTGATAGTTGACTTTTATAAGATTTTTTTTTTTAAGTAACTAAAAAAACAGCAAACCAACAACTCAATCCAATTCAAAAATAAAGGGTTGGGTTGTGAACTATGTGCAGGTTGCTTGAACCACCAATCCAACCAACTGAAATTTCGGGTCGACCCAAATAATTTTTCCAAGCCAACTCGTTTAGACCCCTACTATGATGTCCCACATTGGTTGGGGAGGAGAACAAATCACCATTTATAAAAGGTGTGGAAACATTCCCCTAGCATACGCGTTTTAAAGCATTGAGGGGAAGCCTAAAGAGAACAATATTTGCTAGTGGTGGATTTGGGCTGGTTACAAATAGTATCAGAGCCAGACACCGGACGATGTGTCAGCCTTCTCCCTGTTCCACGAAGGGGGTAGACACGAGACAGTGTGCTAGTAAGGACGCTAGTCCCAAAGGGGGTGGATTTGGGGGCGGTCCTACATCGATGGGAGGAAGGAAAGAGTTCCCCCTAAAGCCTTGAGGGGAAGCCCGAAAGGGAAAGCCGGATTTGGGGGCGGTCCCATATCGATGGGAGGAAGGAAACCCCAAATGGGGGTAGATTTGGGGGCGGCGGTCCCACATCGATGGGTGGAAGGAAAGAGTGCCACCTAAAACCTTGAGGAGAAGCCCGAAAGAGAAACGAGACGGTTACACCTACCAGTTACCATTTAAAGAACAAAATAAGGTTGCTTCTTAAGAATAAAATTAAGGTTTATTTAATGATGATTGTTTAATTAAATGAAGTGGGCCTCCCAATCCTTGATGAAGAATCAGCAGCCTTGCCACCAGCTGCAAAGAGCTTAGCAATCTCCAGCTGAGTGTTAGCAATAATCTCTGTTCTTTTGAGATCCATTTCTCCTCTTTTAGCCTCTGCTTCAGCTCTCATCCTTTCCATATCCCTCATCGTCTCCATTCTCGTTTGCTCCGACCTCGTCACAACCTCAGCTAGCCACCGAATGCTGCTAGCGATCTCATCCAGCTCGTCCGACATCCTCGTTTTCTTCTTCTTCTTCTTCTTCGTCTTCTTCGCTTTTGGTTGTTGTTTCGATCTTAGCTTCTCGTTGTCACTGTATGGCATTGCTGGTGTGCTACTGTCTGTCTCCAGTACAACTTTGTTGCTCTTGTTCTTGTTCTTTTCCTCCTTGTCTGATACTCTTGTTTCATCAACTCCATCCTCCTGTAACTCATAACATCATGTTTTGTCTCAAAAATACCTCAAAACTTTCGAAAATACGGTTGAGATTCCAAAAATTTTCAAAAATAATTTTAAACTTGTTTCAAAAACACTCTTGAACTTTTAGAAATTTCATTAATGCCCTAAACTCTTGAAAAATTTTAAAATACTGTTACAGTTAGTATTATGTTTTAAAAAAAATACTCGTAAACTTTTAAAAATGACATTAATACCCTTAAACTTTATAAGAAATAAAAGTTTATATGGACAGAAACGATGTATCTATACTTTATATATTATTTTAAAGGTATTAAGGCTAAAAACTTTTTTTAACTTTATTTTAAAGATTATAGTGTTAATGCTAATTTTAAAAGTTTATGGATATTTCAGAAACGTGGTACTAACAATTCTTTCCATGTATTATTGGTAAGGGTAATTTTGTATTTTTTTTAAAAGTTTTAAGGATATTAATATATTTTTTTAAAAGTTTTGGAATAAATTATTAATAATGGTATTTTTTAATTTCAATTTTTTTAGATTAAAGGTATTTTTTTAAAAAAATTAAAGTTTTAAGGTATTATTAAAAGTTTAATTTTTTTAAAAAAATATATATATAATTTGTAAATAATTTTATTAATTAAAAAAAAAGTAAAAGGGACAAAGAGCTATAGCCAATAAAAGTGATTCAAAAGAGAAATCAATCACCTTTGGAATAATCCCATCAACACCATTAGATCCAAGACAATTCAGCGTCGCCGTGAAGGGCGGAGGAGACAGAGGAGGCGGCGGCGGTGGCGGCAGCGCATCAACCAGAATCACCGACGTGGCAAGAGGAGGTGGCTGAGTGTTTCCCCGGAGCAAGAGATCAAGGCGATGATACAACGGCCAGGAGGAGGAGGCAGCGGCGGCGTCAACGGCGGAGGCCGATTCCGAACGATACCTCTTCTTCATGGACTCAATTTTATTCTTACACTGCGTTTGAGTCTTAGGCGATTTGGTGAAGTTAGCCCTTGAAGAGACATGGCGAGCCACATCTTCCCAATCATGGCCTTTGAGTTTGGCTCTATTTCTAAGAACCCATTTGGATTCATAAGCTTCCAAGAGGGTGGCGACTGCACCTTCGCTCCATTCGTCGCGTTTGAGGCGATCGCCGACGGTGGAAGAAAGGGCTTTTCTTGGTGAAGGGTCGCCGTGTGTGGCGGCCGAGGGAAGAGGTTGGTGGTGGTGGTTTGTGTCGGAGATGGGTGGAGATGGAGTGGGGTTGATATCCATGGAAGAGAAGGGTTTGCATGCTAGGGCAAGAGGGAGTTTAGGTTTTAAGTTGCCCTTTTGTTAATTAGCTGCTAACATCTTTCAACACCAAAAGGTTTGAGCTTTTGGGAATATGACCACTAGCGTTCTTGAGAGACAATTGGAGAATATCTTCCTAGTGGCCAACAATAAATGGGTATTAATTCTAAATTTTGATACACGTTTACGAGCACAGAAGCGTGGAGATGAAGATTTGAACTTTTGACTATGAGAAAAAGTATAAACGTGATATTAGCTGTTGGTTTATGGTCTAGTCGATAAAAATGGATAATACCAAAAGAGTGAAAGATAGGTGACAAAAGTGTCAAAAGGTTGACATTCTTTCGATATGGAGATTGTGTGATTTGTTCCAATGAACAATCGATAGATAAAAAATATCTTTGTTATGTACACTTCAATAACTTAAACCCATCGTTAGTAGATATTGTCCGTTTTAGCATGGTACAGATCTCTGTTAGTTTCAGAGTTTTAAAACGCGTTTTCTAGGGAGAGATTTCCAAATCCTTATAAGAAATGTTTTGTTCCTTTCGTCAATCGATGTGGGATCTGAGATCTCACAATCCATGCCCTCTTGGGATTGTAACAGCTCAAATCTACCGCTGCAGATAATGTTCGTTTTGGCTCGTTACGTATTGGTGTCGACCTCACGATTTTAAAACGTGTTTGCTAGAGAGAGGTTTTCACGCTCTTATAAGAAATGTTTTGCTAGAAAGAGGCCTAGCGTCCTTGTTGGCGCACTGCCTGGTGTTTGGCTTTGATACGATTTGTAATAGCTCAAACCCACCGCTAGCAGATATTGTCTGTTTTGGCTCATTACATATCGGCGTCAGTCTCACGATTATAAAACATGTTTGGTAGGAAGAGATTTTCACACCCTTATAAGGAATGTTTTGTTTCTCTCTTCAACCGATGTGGGATTTGGGATCTCAGAGTCCACCCCCTTGGAGGTCTAGCGTCCTCGTTGACACGTTGCTTGGTGTTTGACTCTCACCAACCAATGTGGGATTTGGGATCTCACAATCCACCCCCTTTGGAGATCTAACGTCCTCATTGGCACACTGCCCGGTGTCTAACTCTGATACCATTTGTAACTGCTCAAACCCACCGCTAGCAAATATTGTCCATTTTGGCTCGATACATATCAACATCAACCTCACAATTTTACAATGCGTTTGCTAGGAAAAATTTCCACACTCTTATGAGAAATATTCCATTCTCCTCTCCAACCAACGTGGGATCTAGGATCTCACAAACATACTAACAAATACAAGTAGTTCCAACAACTTTACAATCTATACGAATCAAACTATCATTAATTCAATTCCTCCATAATTGTTCGATTACAACCCGACACACTGCTTCAGTGGCTCAATATAAAAAACGATTAGCTCTACAACTTTTAATGTCATATCTTCCAACACCCAATCGAGTACGGTGCGGTTTGCAATATGGTGGAGTTTTAGTTGGAAACTAAAATAATTGAAAGAAATAATAAGAGGAATGAGAAAGAGACATGGAACCACTAGCATTTGGGGAAAAAAAAGGCAATAGAGAGTAAGTGGGCAACCTAAAGGCATAATGAATTGATATCACTCTTTGTCAAATGAGTTAATAATTAAAACCCTAAAATAAAAAAACTTTATTTATTTATTTATTTATTTATTTATTTATTTTTAGAGTGATATGCTTTTAGGGTTTTGGTAGCTTTGATATCAAGCCAACCCCATCCCATAAGCATATATGTCTAAAAGATACCATCGTTTAAAATTCTTTTACTATTTATTATATCACCGATTATAAGTGGTAAATCATAATTGTCTTTTACGATTAGGAGTTAAATATAAATAACTCGTTCCTAATTCAAAATAAAACGATTATCACGAGTCTTAAATTACTCAGACATATCTTTTCAAGAGAGAAAACGAGCGGTGGGAGAGTAAGACGTGGTGGGTTAGCCATGTGGGCCTGTCGCCCACCCGAATTTATCACCATCACCACTAACTTAACGGGTAGTACCGTCTCCTCCACCACCACCAGCCAATGTGCCAAAAAAAATGCCTTGGAAATATTAAAGGTTGCACTTTAAATGGATTCCCTTTCTCTCTTTTGATAGCCTTTTGCTTTACACATTTTTAATATATATATATATATATATATATATATATATATATATATATATATATATATATATATATTTCATTGAATTTGATTTTTATTTTAATTTTTAAAATGTTTTTGTACTTTATTATATTTTTTTTTCAATTTTTCCAAAAAAGTTTTTTTTTAAAAAAATTAAATTGGATTTAATTTTTGAAAATATAATTACAAACTAATCTAACCTTATCCTACTTTTAAAATTATTATAAAGATTAAAAGTATTTGACGTTTGTAACTAATGTTAGTGATATTTGTGATGATTTTTTAAATAATTTTTTTGGAAAAGAATAACCTGACAACCCAGCTCAATCCAACTTGATAGTTGGATTGGGTTTTAAACTCTATTTGAGTTACTCGGGTCACTAATTCAATCAATTTGAAATTTCATATTGTTCCAAAATATTTTTCCGACTCAACTAAGTCCAAATGAATGTTCTCAAACAAAACCGAACCTGTCATAGGTAAAAAGTTATTTAGTGGAGCTATGATTCTGACCATTAGATGCATAAATAGTCGAACTACAATTTTTTTTATTTTATTTTATGTGTCGTCTCAAATATTCTTTTCTTGTAGATCGTATTTTAATTTTGTCCACATAGTTCGACATTATTCTAATTTAATAACTTTATAATATAATTAAATAAAACATCATAATTATATTAATGGTCTTTGAGAAATAAATATTTTTATAAAAATGTCAAACTAATAATAAATAAAAAGAAACACAATAACACAACCATAAAACACTCTTTTTCAATTCAACACCAATTCAAAATTACGATTTTACCCCCTTCCCCTTCACCAACTCAAACCATGACCGGACACTCTTATCCTAAGACCTCCGAAAGTAAAACATCACCGGAATCGGAGATGACACGTTCTAAGAGCACGGTTCGCGGGCGACACCGACACGAGAATTGGGAATGTCGAAGACGATACGGTGGTTTTGTTGCTGCATGTTGGCAATAACGTTGAGGACAGAGTTGACATTGTCGGGCGCCGAGGCCATGGCGAGGCAGGTGGTGGATCCGGCGGTGCTGTGGATGAGGAAGTTGTCCGGTGGGAGAGTGACGTTCATTGCGTCGAACATGAAGGTTATGGTGGGGGAGACGATGGGGACGGTGTAGCAAGTGTCGAAGCCACCAAGAGATGAGACGGTTGCATTGCCTACTCTTCGCTGGAACTCGTCCCTCACCGCAGTGTACGCCGGCGCCACTAGTCTTGTGAACGTCGTTCCTGAATAATTATACCAATCAAAATTAAACTTACATTGAATAATATGATATTGTCCATTTTATCATAAGTAATTTTATTTTTTATTTTTTAAATTTATTATTTACTTATAAATCTTTCGTCATTCCATAAATTAGCTAATCGAGGACTCCCGACCAACAATCTTACCAGAATCAATGATGGTGCCGGAGCCGGTGGCGGTGTTAAAAGTGAATGCACTAGAAGGAATATTGACGACTTTACTACCGACTCTAATCGCGATCAAATTGACATAATACAACGACGACCGTCTCGGGTTGCGGAGGAGCGGCGTGTACTTAATCCTCTTAGGCTGAGCCACTGGCCCGAGCCGCAACGACCCAGAAAAGCTAGCCGATTTGAAGCTGGGAAGGCAGTAGGAGAATGTGGACTGGTACAGACTCTGGGTCTGCGACAAGAGCGACAATGAGCCACGGCCCAGCCCCAACAGCCCCTGCGGCGGCACTGAGCTCCCGGTGGCCTTGGTGATGCACCCGAATGTGAACGCCGGAACTGAGTCCCTCGCCAGCGTTATGTTGTCTTGAACCAGATCCGCCGCCACCGTCGAGCTGCCGTATGTCATGTTGAAACCGCACGCGCTGGTACCGCAACTGGGGTTCGGTACCTGAGATTAACGTTAAAATAAATTTGAGTCATAAATATTTTTTCAATTTCTAAAATTAATTAATTTATTATACATAAATTTAAATATAATCTTATTTCATACTAAATTCCAAAATTTTAATTTTCAAAATTCATAGCCTAAATTTATGATTTGGTTAAAAACCTCTTAAATTTTGTAATTGGTTTAAAAAATATACTTAAATTATGAAAAATTTATAAATATCCTTAAACTTCCAATTTATTTATTTTTTTTTTAAATCTGACAGTTTTAAACAAAAATAGTGGTTAATAAAATATTATTATTTTTTATTAAGAAATAACTATAAATATATTTTTAGAATATTATTAAAACTTTTAAGAATACATTACATTAATAAAAATCCTCTTAAAATATGTAATTTATTTAAAAAAATATACTTAAAATTTCAAAATTTTCTATAACATTCTTAAACTAAAATAAATAAATTAATTAAATTCAATAATTTTAAATGAAAAATAGTCTACATTATATTAATATTTTTTATTAAATAATAACGATTTATCTTTAATTTTTAAATGGTAAGAATATTATTAGTACAAAAATAAATAAGATTTTTATTAATTAGAAAAAAACAAGAGATCACGTGCAAGTGTGGACAGGGAATTGGAAAATTTTGTTGGTCCGTGACTGAACAGTCAGTCGGTGACTGACAGACAGACATTATAGAGATACCCAATAATATATGAAAATAAAAAGACTTTTTTTAATTAGTACGGAAATCCAATAAAAACTGTTTTTTCTGACAATAATGCCCTTAAAACATCATGAATTTATTTATTTATTTAATTAATTATAATTAAAGAAAATGGAATGGGCCCTACCTGGCTGCATTGCGGGGACTGGCAGGGGAGCGGCCGGAAGGAGGAGGATTGATCAGAGGAGAAAACGGAGGTTCCCGGGCAGCCCACGCAGCCGGAACACGGAATCCACGTGGCGTCGTTGCTGGTATCCAGGGCCAATAGCAGCGTCTGGGCAGGGGTTCCGATGCTTGCCCGGACCACGTACGACGGGCTCTGGATCACCTGGCGGCCGGAGGCGATGGGCACGTCGGAGCGGCGGGCGACGAGGGAGGAGAGTAGCTGGAGACGAGATTCGTCCTTGGCCTGCATTTGGAGTACTTCGTCGGCCCATGACAGCGGCTTGGAGTGGGTGGAAATGTGGAAGATGCGGAGGGAGCCGCCGGAAGTGGCGGCGAGGAGGCGGAGGAGAAGGAGGAGAGAGAAGAGGAAAGTGGATGGTTTTGTGTTCATGGCTTTTGATTTGAAATAGAGTGTGGATTGTGAAAATGACGAAGGGGTATTTATAGTCCATTAAGCTTTTATCAAAATAAATAATTATTTTAATTTTCAAAATTATACAAATTATGTTTTAAATTACAAAATTAACCAATCAGAATATTTTGGAGTGAACTTACTACTTAGATACTTTTATCAGTTATACCCGTGGGCACAATAATTGGTACACCAGAAGTGCGTCCTTCGAGGTTCTCTCGAGCTAGGGCAACATCCTCTCAAGACTCTAATGCGTACACTGGATATGGACAGAACTATCTCATGACGTTCTGAACCCAGCTCACGTAATGCTTTAGTGGGCAAAGTTTCATTCTTGCGAACGTACTCCCCAGGCAGGATACTTAATGCGTTAGCTATAGCACTGCACAAGTCGATACGCACAACACCTATTATCCATCGTTTACGGCTAGGACTACTGGGGTATATTTAAAATTATACTTTAGAATAAAATTTGATATATTTAAAATTATATTTAAAATTTGATAAGACAAAGAGTTAGTATTTGTTTCGAGTATGCAAAGGTAGCCTGTGAGTACTAACATGGCCACTCAACCGAGCACGATATGTATTCTTTTAGTTCAACGTGAAAGGATAGAGATTCAATTCTGCCTTAACGAGTTGAACAATGTTGAGCTCGACTGAATTTAACTAATATTAAATGGGGATAGAATACGAGAGAATATTCTTGTGGGAGTGGAATGGAATAATGATGAGAATGTGAATGGGAATGGGGATGGAGACGGGGACCGGGAGTTGTTTTTGGGAACAGAGTGAACTTCAATCCATCGTTGGATCTCTCGTGCCAATACGTATCTCTCTTCCCCACTTCCATTTCTCTTTAGGATTCTCCCGCTCAATTTTAAAATTTAATAATGATGGATTGATAAACTATTCAATTATTTGATCTAACACAACCTAAACTATACAAGTCTGGTTGGATTGATCGGATTTTTTTAGTCAATAGGTTTTTTTGAACACTCTTAATTGTCTTCCACAAAAAAAATTGATGAACAAATCGTGTTGTCGTTCCATTTTGGTCTAGATATTTATACAGTATTCTATATTCAAGAAAATACGTTAGAACGAGTTGTTAATGTCTCGATACTAATATTAGTAGCTTGCACTTACCTCGAGAAACGAGGTTTTTTCTTTCAATTCTTTACATAAATTAATCAACATCCAGCTCATTCATACATATAGCTCAAACAGATCAAAAAAAGACAACAAAAAATGACCAAGTTTTTCTTAAAGGGAGAGACAAAACAACCATGTTCGTGTAGGAAAGAGTCCAAATATGTAATGAAATTGCATGTGATTGCACTTTTATCAACCAACATGGCTTGTCCTTTCGCTAAAATTAAAGCCCTCCAATTAGGGTTTCTCGTTCGTCTTGTTTGAAGATATAAATAAACATTATTACTTCTCCATATTCCCCTCCAGTGTTCAAACTTCGGTTCAAAAGATTTCGATTTGAGTCGAGTCATCTCAACCAACTCAGCCGATTTCAAAATAGGGTTTACGTCTCAATTCTCCTTTTATTACGAAAAATAAGAATATTTGACATATTTAACACATGGAACCGTAAACTCTTCAACCCAACTTAAACTAATTCGTGTACGCTCTCGATGGTTATCAACGCGTGTACATCTCTAATAACCATCAAACGTTGCGTGACTTGTGCATCGATCATTTGCTTTTAAATTTTTTATTTCCTTTAAATTAAAAAATAATAAATAAAAAAAATAAAAAAAAAAAAGGGAAAAAAATGATTGAGGTAGCTTTTTGCAGGCTTTTCCCATTGTCGTCGCTTTTGCTTCACGAGAGGATTTTTTTTTTTTTTTCCCTTTTCCTTTTGGGTAGATTTCCTAATTATTGTGCCTTAAATTATTATTATTATTATTATTATTTACTAAATTAATACAAACATGTATTTTATTTTTAAAAAACATTACTAAATTTTTAAAAATTTTAATAACAAAAAAAGTTTAAAAATATTTTATAATTTTTTTAAAAAATTTTAGGATATTAAGAAAATTTTAAAAAAAAAAATTAAATTTTTTAATGTATTTTTATTTATTTATTTATTATTTTTTTGGGGTTAAAAAAAGGTCTCTTTTGGTGGGGTATCCATACTTTTAGTTGTTTGGACATTTTTGTCCTTTGGTTTATGCTTTTTAAAATTTATTATTTTGCTGATTTAAATTAATAAGATTTTAAAAAAAATGAGCGAATAAAGTATGGATTTAAAAATAATTTCTTTTACATTATTTAAATTAATAATTATGGGAATGTGATAATTGCAATTTAATTTATTTATATATAAATAATGAATCTATTAACAAATATTTTATAATTAATGTTCATGGAAATCATTTTATGGATAGGAATAATGGATAAGATTTTATGATTGGTGTTGGTGGGGGCGACGAGCTAGGAGCGTTCGGGGTAAAAAGTAGAATTATTCAATGAAGTTGTTTAGTTTCGGGAGTTAGTTAATCCGAGGAGTTATAAATCTGGGTTTGAAATGGAGAATTAATAAGTCTGTGTTTGGAGTGTATTGTTGTCTGATGCCTATCGAAGGTCGAGGACATGATTAGAACAAAAAAATTTAGGGATATATAATGTTAAAAGGGTCGGGTTGATAACTACACAAAAATTATTAAGATTTGGGGTTTACTTTTTATTGTTTATAGTTGACTTTTTACTTTTTCAAAATGTGTAAAAATATGTGATGTACATGTCAGAAGTGTTGGAAGGAGACCGATGATCAAAAGACGTATTAGGTCGGAGTGTCTTTCGAAAAACTATTATTATCATAGGATTAATGTTAGTGGTTGCAAAGAGATAGGTCGCGGAAAATAGACCTATAGAAAGACGGAAATGAGGTAATCTGTGCAACTTTACCGAAGTTACAAGGGGAAGGAGAGAAGCAGCTTTACCCGGATCGAAAGAATAAATTCCGAACATGTCTGGTCAAGAAATTGCTCCAAAGAAAGCTATTTTGGTTCTCAATGTTTCTTCACACTCAACGATCGATTGAATGCTGAATATGCACAATGTAAATTTGTATGGGTGGATAATGTAACGGTCCAAGCCCACCGCTAGGAGATATTATCTGCTTTGGGCTTTCCCTTTTAGGCTTTAAAATGCGTATGCGAGGGACAGGTTTTCACACCCTTATAAAGGGTGTTTTGTTCTCCTCCCCATATCACAATCCACCCTCCTTCAGGGCCCAACGTCCTCGCTGACACTCATTTCTTTCTCCAATCAAAGTGGGGCTCTCGCCAAATCCAACCCCCTTCGGACCCCAACGTCCTTGTTGGCACACCGCTTCGTGTTTACCCCCTTCGAGGAATAGCCTCCTCGATGGCACATCTCCTAGTGTCGAGCTCTGATATCATTTGTAATGGCCCAAGCCCACCACTAGCAGATATTGTCTTTTTTGGACTTTTCTTTCGGGCTTCTCCTTAATACTTTAGAGAGAGGTTTCCACACCCTTATAAAGATTGTTTCGTTCTCTTTCCCAACCGATATGGGATAATGGGTCGCTTATCCCGTATAAGGAAACTTTTTATTATTATTATTATTATTATTAATTTAAAAATAAAGAAAACAACACTATTGCTTTGAAAATAAATATATTGTTTTTATTTTTCTATTTTTCTCAAAAAAAAAATAAAAAACGAAAATAGCGTAAAATTTTCATAAATTTAAATTTGGGCTTTTATAAGGGCCCAATAACTTATCAATATTCATGGGCTGTTCTTAAGCATTGGGCTTTTGCAAAGCTGTTAAATTAATGGGCCTCTTTTTTCATTTACTTTTATATTTAGCCTCAAAACCTTATGATATTTCAACTTTACCCTTTAGTTTTTCACCTTTTTTATTTTAAGTTTAATTCATAATAATATTTTTATAATAAAAATTATTGGATTTGATTTTTTGAAAATTTAAATTTTGTCGCCCCAATCCAACCGACAACCGACATAAGAATACACGCGATTGGCTGAATTTCTACACAATTTATTTATCACTCATTTGAATCTCCTCGATCAACTCATTGTCCCGATCAACCCAGCGTCGACCGATTGACCTTCTCCTCCTCGTCCCTCAATTACCTTGCAACATCCCATACCATCGAATCGGCTCGTCGTGGAAGATACTTATCGGAGAAGAAAAAAGAGAACGCATTAAAAGGAAGCACATGAACAGATAAATTCAACTAGTTCAGTTCATTTTAACAGAATATTGTGTGTCGAGTCTGTTAGAGGTCACCAACTATCTGAATTCTTCTACTTCAAAACAAAAGCCTACATGGATATGGAAATCACAGTAGTTCGTGAATATTTTCATAAAAACGGGTTATAAATATTTTCTTAAATACGTATCCACATCTTTATAAGAAATGTTTTGTTCTTCTCTCCAACCAATATGGGATCTCACAATGGGACGTCGATGACAGTCCTCAAACTACCGAGAGAATATTCTTAATTACAGGAGAAATTTGATATTCAAATTTACTGGAGGTGTACGCGAGTCCGAGTTTGATTGAATTCGAGCAATCTTTTGAACCAACAAAAAATTTTAAATTTGGAGAACCGAGCTATCTGAATTGTGTTTACAACCCAACCCAACCCAATCTTTTGCTTTCCGGTTAAGTAAGGTTGGATTATCGGATTATTTTTTTTATATTATTATCATTTTAAAAAATCTTATTTATCAATAGTACACGTTACTGTATTATACACTAATAATCAAAATCTTATACAATTCAAATATCAAACGTGTCACAATACATCAGTTACAAACGTCAAATATTTTTAATCTTCATAATAATCTTAAAAGTAGAGTAGGACGGAGTTAGGTTGTAATTCTATTTTTGGGCTGATTAGGTTGGCCCAGTAAAAAAAATGTCAACCTGTGAACAGACATCAAAATTTTTTATTTTTAAAAAATTCAACCTAATCCGAGAAAAAAAAAGAAAGAA